TATTAATCTTTGCAAATCGCTAGCTGCACGCTTCACAATGAATGCGTCTAAGGTTCACACTTAGGGTACATTACGGCATGTTTTCTATGTATGATATTCTCAATATAATTCATAATCCCACGTTTATACTGAACAACGCGTTATGGTTATTGTGTTACAAACGGTGTACGCACAGAACAGAGAGGCGGGGTGAGCAAAGCTCATTAAAATAAGTGTTTTCTTACAATACTAATGAGAATTTGTAATTAAAGTATATTACAAACTTTTAATTTAGACCCTAAAGAATCATACTAGCTTGTACAAAAATGGCATTATATGACCCCTTTAAAGCCTTGCCAACAGAATAAAAGCCTATTAAGAATGCATTTAATAGTTAAATGGACCTGGGATTAAAATTTGCAAAAATTTCCTTAAAGTCCTGAGTGTAACTTTTGTGTTACGAGTGTAAATTAGATTTATAAGAGGGTATGGGGGTGAAATAGTAAAATTACAATACAAATACAAATTTGTGCCAAAATCTATGCACAGGCAAAATGCTAAATAAAAAACAAACAGAAAAAGTAAAAAATGTGTTTAAAGTCACACAATTCTAAGTCCAACATGCTTTTGTTCTGTGGTGTGCAGTAGCATCACCATGTGATGTAAAGAACTATGAAAACAATATTGAATGTTGACATTGAAACAGAGACAAGAGGCCTCATTATCTGCACAAGTTAACATGTTTAAGAGGTTCTTCGGGTCAAAAATGACCCGAAGCGTTTAAATAAAAAAATGTTAAAAATCGTAGCTTCATCGGAATGGTCCAAAACTTGGTGACTTTTTTGGTACTTGGTATATGAACACCCAAAAAAATTGGGGACAGGATTTGAAAAGTCTAAGTGGTCGTAAAAAAAATAGTCACACTCAGGGTCTTCGGGTCTAAAATGACCCGCATAGGAAATGAATGGGAAATTGGCAAAAATATGAAAATACAGAGTTTTTTTGTGCATACAATCTACCAAACAGCCAGGATGCAGAAAAAAAGCACACAACAGTGAAGGGCTAAATCTCTTAAAACAATGGGTGACAAAATGCTTTCCATTTGTTCTCTTTATAATGCAATGTTCAGGTTTGAATGTATTATAAAGTAAAACTGCCACTTCAAATTACCATTTAAACCAACCAAAAAAATATATATATATTTTTTTAAATTTAAAAAAATTACAAAAATAGTAATGAGAATCTGTTATTATATATTCAAATCACCAACCTGAAAAAAATTAAACAATATGTGAAAAAATCACTAGAGTGTTTCTACCATAGGTTTCTACAGAGAGCTGTAAATCCACTAGTGGTAAAAATGTGCTATTGCGTGATAAAAATGCTCAGTGTGTCCACCAGATGGCTCCGATCTCATTTCAAAAATTGCTTTCATGGGTCTTAATTATTGCATAAATATTAATTATAAATCATAAAATTCTCAAAACACCAAAAAAGAAAAGAAAAAATATTATTGAAGAAAAATATATTTAATTGATTTTACTCAAATAAAATGTATCTTAATGCCGCCCTCCGGTCATTTTTGACCCGAAGGTCCTGAGTGTGAGTCTAAAATGAAGAACCCCAGAGGGTTAAATTACTACTTACAGCAACAAATTAATTTGCTGCTCTAAATCACCCAAACAGTTTGTATGTCAAATGGTAATTCTATTTATTTATAATTTTTATGTAGCATTTGTTTGACTATTTTATTGTATATTTATGTTTCCTTTGTTTTTAGTTATTCATTTGTATTAGTTATTTGTGTTATGATGTCATGTTTTGGATAGTCTGATGGACAAAGTTCTGTGGGTTGTGGGGGAAGAGTTGTTTGTTTTTTTAGTTTATTTAATGTTATTATGTTTGAAAATAAAGATATTGTAAAAAAAAGAAAAAAAGTAATTTTTTAGAGCTCACTTATGCAAAAGGACTTCCACTACTCTAACATGGGGTTAAATGCCTTGCTCCTGTAATAAAGACAGCTCACACATGCTTCCTAGAACTCAAAAACAATGGGTACTTCTCATTTCTAATTTGAGCATCCTCATTTGAAATGAGGACAAAGGAATTGAAAGAAGGCTAATATTCAAGCGTCACTTCAAAGCATCATCAGCTGATGTCCTCTTGAAATATGTCAGATATATGGTTTGTTTAAACTACAACAGTAAAGTACTAGATTAAAATTGTGACAGATGTGAAGGGGGAGGGAAATACATACATGTGCCAAGTTTTTCGACTAGAAAGACTTCCACATAAGATACACCTGTGCATCCTCACTTATAGCTCCATTGGAAGCCTTCTCACTCCTTCCTTGCAATGCAACTAAAGAACTGAGATTCTTCAAGATGACTTTGATCAGTTTCCAGGTCACAGGCTGGAGGACTGAGGAGCGAGGAAGCATCAATTTGATTGATTGAGAAGCACCCAATGTTCCAGTCATCAGCAATTAAATTGTTTACAACACTGACTAAAGTTGTAGATTATTCAGTAACTCAAAACAGTATGATAAGAACTTTATTTTAACATTCTGCAATTGGTACTCTACATCAGACTGAAACCATGGTCCTTGACTCTGATGGGTCCAACAGATGCCCTGTCCCACCGCCAATCTGCTAAAGAAAGTGAGAACACTAAAGCAAATGACCATACAAACATTAACTTTCGTAAGCTTAAAAAAAACCACATGCCTTTACTTAGCTGATCCCTTCCACTCCTAATGCCACAGGTTGCGTCACAGCAGCCACACACCTGATCATCCTCATCAGCAGACATCCACCTGTCAGACAAACCAAATATTAAGTCCTCACACACTAAAGTTTTGAAGTAATTCATATAATTGAAAACATACCTATTAGCAGAGAAAGAGCAAGCTTTCTGATCAACATTAGTAGGGTTGGATTCTGCAGCCACCTTGAGAACACAAGTAATGTAGACCTACAAAAAGCAAAATTATTTGTACACTCCATGCTAACATGCACCCAAACTGCTAATCCACATACATACAATTCCACTAATCTCTTGCTGGAATCTGAACGCCACCAACTGAAACTGCAGCTTGTCAATTTGAGTCCGGGGCATAAAGTGAGAGCCTGAGCCTGTGAGTTTGCCATCAACTAGACACCTAGGGTGGAAGAATTTTTTTTTAATAAATTCAGACATTCCATGATGCCACATTGTGTGGTTCTTGAAGGACCTCTACTCACCCATTATTCTCAATAAAGGAGTATCTGGGTGTAGCACTGGTATCAGGGACTGAAGTAGCCACACAGCTATCCACAAACACACGAAGAGGAATGTGGTTGTATGACCTCAGTGAAGCCTCAATATTAATGGAATCACCCAGGAAGTACTGATTAGAAGGTCTTTCAAATCTCCAGTCATCTGCAAAGAAATCATTTTAACCCAGGTTCACAAGCACTGGCAGGTTACAAATATTTACATTATACCGACCAGTCATGAGCTTGAGGGAGAAGACCAAAAGTTCCTCCGCAACTATAGTTGAGGCATATGGGGCCCAAGTGGGCACTAAGGTATCGCTGCTAACATCAAGCACTCTGTCAAGGTATAAGAGTCAGTCCCTTTTAGTGCAAATTATATTAGCATATTCAATCCTGAGTTAACTGAAATCTTACCTTGGATAATGACACTCGATACCAACCACCGCACCACTGCTCCTGACAATAGGACCAACATATGAAGCCTCTTGTGGGGTGTAGATAATGTTGAACCTATAGACAAGCTCATCCTCAGTCACCTAAACAGAAAGGTTAATAGAAGAACAGTCACATGGACGGTTCAGAATACCTATGATTGTCACATCATAACCTTACCATTGATGTGCCGCTACATCCATGCAGTTCAGACTCAAAGATCAGCACTTGAGCAGAAGAATCCTCTCCAGTTGCAGTACAGCCTCCCAGTGTAAAACCAGAGGACAACAGTGGGTGCCCAGTCCCAAAGAAGTCCTTCATCACTTCCACATATACTGAATTCTCTCCACACTGAGCAGCTACACTGTTGGCAGGGACAGGATAAGGCAACTCAAAAGGAACGTCTGGCTGCTGTGGTTCCTCTGGTAGACTTGGAAAGCTCCACGTCAGTTTCGCCACTGGACCCTGCAACAGCTCTTTTAATTGAACACCCATAAGATCTTGAGAAGACTTTCTAAAATCAGTCCTGGCTGGTGTCTGGACAGGAAACTGAGCAGGAAACCTTTGTGGTGCAAATGCAGTGTTACTGGGAACCAAAGCCATCCTGGAATCAGCCTGTTGAGAAGCTTGAGCTAATGTTCTAGGCCTAAACTCGCTTGGACTCCGGTTATGTGCTGCTCTTGCTCTCCATTGTGCTTCAGAAAATCCAAGTGCAAGAATAAACACCAATCCAAATCCAACCTGCCAAAACCCCATTATTGCCAAGCTTGTTTCAATGAAGCATTAGGGTGCTACCATCTAAATTTATGCAGATGTTAATCAGAATGGCTCCACCTCTCTCGTGACAAGCATCATTTTTCTCTGCACCTGCCAATTTACTCAATCAATATATCACAGGTGAAAGTCATTGATTATTTACTACGCAGAATAAATGAATTACATATAAGGGCATGTTATTAGTAGCTAAACCAAATGATTGCTTATTTTAAATATCAAAATGAAAGGATCAATTCTCTGAAACACAAACAACCTCAAGTCTTTTTGTGTCTTCCTTTTTTATTAATTCAGAAACATGGCCACATACAGAATTGCACACTAGAGTATCCAGAATAATAAAGTTTAGTATGTTTCAGGTTTAGATTGTAACAAACATTCTTCCCTCACATCAACAGCAATCTTCACAAGGGACTGAAATGGAGAAATTTAGTTCAGAACCAAAGGAATGCAGGATCATAACATTATTTGATTTTAGATTCACTGATATGTTTTCTCCCCATTACAACTGTTATGTTTAGGTTGATCAGAGTGTTTGTGGATTCATTGTAGACTTCATTCTTTCTTGAACTATACTATATGCTGGTCAGCACCAAAATACTATAATCTTAACAGTCTACTCAAATATTTTTTATTTTAAAATATTAACAGGTATGAACAAACGACAAGCTCATTAATGGAAATTAAGAACTTAAAATGCTGTTTGAAATATGACATAGCACACATTAAAACACGCTGGAGAATCTTAAAGAAAATATATATTTCACAAATAGTTTGTGAAGCAGCACACAGTAATAAAAAAGTACTCAACTATTTGAAATCAGATTATATTTCCAGTTACACAGCCAGAGTCAACATTTTCTAATTCTTTAAGTCTCTTCAGAAAGAAACAACTTGTGTGCCACTGAACAGGTATCTACTTTAACACAACACTTGGGCTCAAGATGCATTTGGTTACTCATCCTGCCAATTCACAGCTCTAAATGGTTGAAACAGCCTTAAAAAACAAAAACAAACAAAAAAACAGACAAATAAAGACACTGCTGGGGAGACTGGGTCAGCTGTGTGTTCGGATCTGAGAACAGTTGACTGCTTCTATCCTATACACTTTAATTGTCCCATCTGCTTTTCTTGCGTTTGGGGGGATCAGGAACTGCAAAGCTGTCTTTATGAGTCCCTGACCTCTCACCCCCATCTCGTTCTGACCGTCCCTCTCTGTCCCTATGGCTCCCTTCACCGTTTCGGCTATCGCCATGACGATCTCTGTCACTATAGCGGTCCCTTTCCCCATAGCGATCACGGTCTCCCCCACTATGCCTGTCACCATGACGATAATGACTTTCTCCATGACGACCCCTGTCATCAGCATTCCTATCACTACGGGACCCCTCTTTTGAAGAAGAGCTAGAGTAAGAGTCTGAAACCGAGCTCAGGGAGCCAGCGCTACTGAAGCCGCTCATTTTGGTGCCTGAGCTGAGGGCAGGGAGCGGCAGCATAGAGGAAACTGAGGAGAACGACGATGGAGAGTAGGACAGGTGAGGTCTGTCAGGCCCCTCAGGTGCTCCTGAAGGCAACGAACTTAGACTTCCTGCACTGGTCCAACCAGAGGAGCTGCTGGACTTTGTAGTAAGTTTAGGAGGAACACCAGATGCCGCCACAAAGTGGTTTTTATACTGAGCCTGAGAAAAAACAAAAGCATGTTTAACAAACTCCATAGATTGGTATATTTACACGTATGTAAACTATATCTATACTGAAAAACATGAGAGAGGGCTTTTTTTTTTTTTACGTGAAATGCTTGCTTCAGGGCAGACATACGGTCTCCCATGGCTCCAGTGGAGGGTTTGTAGGCCTCATAGTTACCAAGAGCAGCACCACTACTACTGCGCTCCTGATTTAAGAAAATGAAAAATGCATTAGCAATTAATTGGCTTGGTTCCTGTTTGTATGGTAATTGCAAACACATGGATAACTAGGTTTTATGTAAAAAAAAGTGCAGAAAAAACACGAATGGACATTTATATAATAATATATATATAATATATATATTTATATATATATAAATTATAATAATAATAAAATGAAGCAAAAGTAATACCAAACTAACAGTGGATTCAGATCCAAGGCCAGGTCTCTCTCTGTAACCCAGGCCTCCACCTCCAATATTTAGTTTCTTCCCTTTCCCTCCCTTAAAGCGGGATTTCCGGAACCAGGGATTCTTAAAAAAAGAAAATGCAAAGTTGGTGAAAAAAATTGACAAAACATGCACAATGAAAAATGTACATTGTAAACAGGATGTTGTTTTACCTGCATTGCCAGGTCCATCAGCTCCTTTGAAACACTCTGATTGGCTCCCTCTAAATTGCGAACCAGGTCACCAGCGAATGAAGTGTCTTTAGTGGTGAGCAGAGTGTAAGCAACACCTTTCTCTCCTGCACGACCTGTTCTACCAATTCGATGTGTGTGTGTGTCAATGTCTCGTGCAACATCATAGTTCACAACTGTACGGATAGATGGAATATCCAACCCACGAGCTGAAAAATGCAAGAGAAATTTAATTTGAATAAATACAAAGATATTTATAATAAAGGGAATAAGTACACAAATGGAAACAGTTCATCTATCTTGAACAGATGCAGATAGATACACAAAATAAGTAATGTAATGCCTCAAGTGACACTAACCAGCAACATCAGTAGCTACCAATATGGGCAGATTCTTCTTCTTAAAGTCAGCAATGACTTTGTTCCTCTCACTCTGATCCATGTCTCCATGGAGCAGCCCCAGGCTATAACCTTCCTGATTCAAATTTGTAGCCAGCTCCTCACAGTTAGCCTTTTTAGTGACAAAGACCAGCACTGAACCAGCGGAGGTGAACTCCACCAGCCTGCGCGTCAGCCAACCCCACTTCTCCTTCCCAGTCTGCAGCACCTCCACTATCTGAGTGACATCTTCATTAGCCTGGGAGGATGAGAAAAGAAGATTAAATAAACGTATTCAAATACTATGCGTACAAATTCCTTTATAAGAAACAAGGGCTGCACCTCTCCTATATCTCCCTGCACAACACGGATGGGGTCGACCAAAATATCTCGTGCCAGCTTTTCGATTTTCTTCCGAAAAGTTGCACTGAATAACAGAGCTGTGAGAGATCAGGTCATGAAGGGCTTAGAAGTACAATAAATGGAGTCATGATGGAAACTAGTAGAAATAATTTAAAGCAGCACAATAATATGAACATGAAAGATACTTACTCTGTCGATCAGGTCTGACATGGCTGGCAATGGATCTCACTTGATATTCTGTATAATGCAGGTTAAATTTAAGACAAGGGCATCACAATTGTACTTTTTTCCCTTAAAGGAATAGTTCACCAAAAAATACAAAAGTTCTACCATAATTTACTCCCTCATGTTGGTCTGAACCTATTTGATTAACTTTTATTCATGTATAAACACCGATCAATGCACATACATAGAGCACATCGAATATGGTAAACGTTTGAGGAGTGAGAACCAATGAGGTTTGTTCTTGCAAGCGCATTTGAGCTTCCATTTACCATATTCTATGTGCTCTATGTATGTGTGTGTGGATCAATGTTTATATGTGAATAAAAGCCTAACTTAAATCTGTTCACCATTAAAGTGATCACGTCTCTTCAGAAGACTGAATTAAACAGCCTTTATGGATATTGTGAAGCTTGTTTTTGGTGGAATAGACTTAAGTGGAAGAACATAAATATCTTAGATTTCATTAAAAAGTTGTTCATTTCTGTTTCGAAGATAAATGATAGTCTTATGGGTTTGGAACAACATGAGGGTGAGTAAATGATGAAAGAATGATAATTTAGGGTGAACTATCCCTTTAATTCAATACTTTGGTGACCAAACAGCAATTGTGAAATGTGCTGCTGTTTTGACTGAGCTTTTAATAGAAAAAAAAAAAAAACATGGGATAAAAATGAATGAGATAATACAAAAAAGGTGACATTTCACACATACCAAAGCCCATATCAAACATGCGATCAGCTTCATCAAATACCAGGTAGGTCACACGCTGCAGAGATGTAGCTTTCTTCTTCACATGATCGATTAGACGACCCTATGTGAGAAAAGCAAACATATGAATGAAATCTTCATACGATATATTCACTTTCAAAGACAAACCAAGGAACACCTTTAGTAAATAGAAACAAGTGGAATGAGGTTGTGTATTGAAAGATAAATGCCTGGTTTCACAGACAAGGCTTAAGCTAGTCCCAGACTAAACTGCATGTTTGAGCTGTTTTAACTGAAAGTAACTTGCACTGAACATATCTTAAAATATGTCAGTGCCATTGTTTGATCTCAAAGATGCACACACCAGTAATGTTTTTTCTAAGGCACGTTTATAAAAGCTACTTAAATGTCCTAATTTAACTAAGGCCTAATCCTGGCTTAATTTAAGCCCTGTCTGTGAAACCAGGCAGAGATGTTCTTACTGGGGTGCAGACAACAATTTCAGCTCCTTCCTGTAGAGCTTTGGCTTGTTCCCACATGCTGCCACCTCCGTACACTGCCACTGAGCGAAGGCCATATACCTTACCGAATCGCTTGCATTCGGAATGGATCTGAACCACAGAGGTAAGCATTGCAAAGTGATTAAAACCCAAAACACACTACAAAACCTTGAATCATGACCAAGACTACTTTATAAGAAGAACATATTTAATTATTTTGCTCAGTAGTTATTTTTTCATCTCCTTCCACTCATTCATCCCTTACACCTTCCCCTAACATGAAGGAGCTTTCTTTCTCACTGACCTGTTGACAGAGCTCTCTAGTGGGGCAGACAATCACAGCAATAGGTCCTTCTCCCGGCTCCAGCTCCTTCTGGTCCATGATGTGCACCAGCATTGGCCAAATAAAAGCTGCAGTCTTTCCGCTGCCGGTTTTGGCAATGCCAATCATGTCTCTGCCACTCAAAGATATAGGAACACCCTAGTGAAAAAACACACACATTACTTTAGAAATATAATGCAATACCTAAAATGACTACTTTGATGACAGCATAAATGAGCAAAGGGTCATTCGGATGGGTTTGACAGCTCACCTGGCACTGGATGGGTGTGGGTTGAGTGTACTCGGATTTACGGATCTGGTGCAAAAGCTGCTCATCAAATCCAAAGTGGGCAAAACTGGTGGATGGTTTAGGAGGGGCTGCACCTGAAACCTGTTTATTTTGAATATGGTTTAACGTTGGTTGAAAAAAAGGGAATGATCATTTGTGTATGTACTTGTGTGTGCTGCGTGCCATTGACCTTCAGGTTCAGTTTCTGTCTCAGTTCCACCACTCCAAGCCCAGTCAGACTGCTGAGTTCCTCATGCTCAATATAAAAGTTCTTCTCAAAGGGAGGATAGTCAATCTACAAACAGAAGAGAGGTAAAAAGTCGTCGTTTACATCTCATACTTTTCTTTAAAGTAGATACAGGGGCTTTTTGATATGAGAGATCTAATAAACTACAATGTACTTGCTCATCAATAGAGTGCTGCAGGAATGAATAGGAAAACCGGAAACAAGTTAGCAATTTTTAACTCCCAGTTCCATCGTTCCAAAGTCAATGGGTCTTTTGTTAAATGCCTGAAATAAGATTTTATTCTATGACATATGAATCCGTAATAACACCCTTGTGATTTTTTATAGCTTTTTTTTATATATATAACGTTTGCTAGTCACAGAGCATATTTTCTGCAATAATCTAAAAGCCTAACGGCTTTTGGTTGAGGGAACCAGGGAGATGCAAACTTCTGGCCTACAAAATTACATCATCCCTACAGCACTCTATTTAGGGATGTTAATGCAACAACTACTGAAGGGAGATGCAGTAACAGTACCTCTGAGTGGTCTATGGGGGGCAAGGGCAATATAATCTTTTTGGTAGTAGGAGCAATGGGATTCCCATCGCTGTCATAGTCCACTTCTTCCTCCTCTTCCTCTAGGGTCAACCCAGCTGTTGGATTCTCCGCCATGTAACGGAAATATGCTTCCTGCAAAGAACACAAAACCATGCTTTAGATCAAGACAAAGAGCAGCAGGCCTTTATATCTGCAAACAAGAAAGTCATTCAAATGGAACTACATCAAATTCAACTTTGAGTTCAAATTCAAGTCAGAGAAAATACGTATTGCCTAGGAATTGACCCAGAATAACTAATTATGACATAGCAAGTTCTCACCAAAATTTCAAAACCACATATAAGACAGCACTGATATGGCGTCAATGACATTACAATACATTTTAATTGATCACTGATATTTTAACACACATTTAACATGGACTCAAATCTCATGTTTCAATAATCACTCTACCTGTAAACATTTAAAGAAAATAGATAATGACTGAGAACTTTTGAATCTGTTGAGAAATCAAATCTGATGAGTGCATTTATAGCCATAAAAACAAGCTACTCTATGCTCTATTGCAACAACTCTATTACCAAAAGAACATTTGAATGGCTCAGTCTGTAAACTGATGTATTTATATATATATATATATAGTGTATAAGGAAGGAAGATAGAAAGAGGGGTGGGACACAGCCATTGCTGTGGCAAAGATACGATGGCGGTAGTAACGTCAAGAGGGTCACTCACTTGGTCATCTTCTTCTTCAATGTCATCCCGTATACCCCTGGAAGAAACAAGCGGAGAAAAAAAACTTCCCTGCGACTCGCTCAATCACCCATGGAAACCCATATTCTACCCATTAACCCCCATTTTCTATTCCCATCCTCTCTGCTATAAATATTATCTGAATGAATGGTCTTAAAATTATATATTTTTTCTGTGATAATTGCAGAATCTTACTTGGCCAACTTTTTCTCTTTTTCCTTTTCCTCAAGTTTCTTCATGTCCTTTGCTGCTTGGTCCTGAAAGAAGTCAAAAGAATTACAAGAGCAAGAATTAAAGCAAAAGAGCAGCAATGTTCACTGCCGGTTCTAATAGAGATCAGTTCAGGAACGCAGCTCTCACCTCCACCTCAGCCATAAAGGCATCAAGGGGGTCATCCTCACTGTCTGAGCCTCCTCCTCCACCTCCAGATTGGAACTGCTTTCTAGTGGGAGAGTTCTCGGCAGGTATATATGGCAGATCTGCACTGCTAGACTCCTCTTCATCATCCTCAAAATAACTAAAAATACATTTCAAGCATTAAATGTAATAGCCTCTTTCGTTCACCTGCCACTAATTCATTTACTCAACCTCAAAAGGAGACATTAGGCATAATAACAGTCTCCGTCAACTTTCATTTTCATGAAAGGTGGAACTAAAGCAATGAAAGTGAATGGTGACTAAAAACTCATCTCATTTTGTGTTCTAACAAAAAAGGAAGACATATGGGTTCTGAACAACAAGAGGGTGAGTAAATAATGACAAATATTCTTTTTGGGTTAAACTGCATTTTTCCATTTTTATTTTGGGGTGCAATGTCTTCATTTTAAAAACAGCCACATTTTAAGTACTTACGCATTCTCCTCGTCGAAATTGGCTCGTTTTGTTCCTATTTTGTAAAAAGACGAAAGCTGCTGATTCTTGCCATATCCACCTGATGGTCCTGAACTTCCAAATGCGGAGTGGGCCTTCTGGGTAACAGGAGGTTCCTCTTTCTTCCCACTAGCAAGAGAGAATCCCCCGAATCCAAAGCCTCGCTTGCCACTCGGGCCTCCCTTGTTCCAGTTCATCATTGTTGTTGGGCTGCAAAAAACAGCATCAGATTGGAGGTTTATACACCTTTATAAAACAGGCACACACACAACCCCACACACATACAAAACCCATCAGCCTACTGAAGCACAACGATTACAGATTCAGCTTGTAAATATCGCTCCGCTTTGCTGTTGTTGCCATAACTTTCATTTTCAGTGTTCTCTTATTTAAAATTTCTCTCAATATTTCTGTTGTCAAACTGCAGGTAGGCGAAAGTGTTTTGTTATGCTGTGCTGATGGCCGTGGAGAGGCCTTGAGCTGTGTATAAACGGATTATGTTTCGATTACTTTCACTATGAGTGCGTGAAAGAGTAATGGATATATTTCTTCGCTTTCTGTTTATTTACCTGTCACTGATACGGTGGGGAAAAAGCGATCTTCTAAAGTGGGTGGACACCTTATTTATCCACAGCGTATTTACCACTTCAGGCTATCTTGCACACTTCTTGGAGATTGTGTTTTACGTCATTTACAATAGACTCGTTTTGTGTTGCGTAAAATGTACGCGACGCGTTTGGTGTAGAACGTAGAATGCAATGTTGCCAGATCCCCATCTTATTTCAGTGTATGATGTATAGTACGGTATAGTAGTAATATTATATATTAATATTTAAAATATATATATACATATATATATGTAATATTATTATTTATTTATTTACATTTAATTTTGCTATTATTTCTCTTTTTATTTGATTTAGATCTGTTAAACATTTCACGCTAGTTTATTGTTGATTGACTGTTTATGATTTCAAAAGATAATTAAAATAGTTTATATATTTTATACAGACCTTAGATAAATTAATAAATCCTTATGTTGGTAGGTGGTGCTATATTTGACAGTTGCGATAAGTTTTTGGACCCTAAAACTGCAACCTGCAAAAGCTCTTCTTTATACGCGATAATAACAAGATATGGCAACACAAAACGCAGAATATTTCATTTGCTCACGAATTTACACCAATAGGGAGACACGCATCCAACCTTTGATCCAATAGTAACACGAGGAAGCCGAGTCGTCAACGACACTTGTCCAATCACCTAACGTCTTTTAACACGACCCAGCCCACTGCGAGGAGAAGAAATACGTTACATCCCCTAGTTTTATTGATAACTTAAAATCGGACTATTTGATCAGTAAGACGAACGCAAGATATAAACTGAAGGTGAGTTTAACGATTATACTGCATTACTTACACAAGTACATTAGTCCTCCGAGCTCTGTTTATCATAACTGAGAGACATTCTTGTCGCTGCTTGGCTAGCTGAAAGATTCTGACCGGTAAACTTGCATGCTACATTGTTTATAAATGATTAACCCTGCTTTTTATAATATAACGTTAACGACTTTGTGTGAGTGAATACACATCTCTCATGCTGTTCACTAACTGAGCAAGTAATTTTATGTGCAAACACATGTAACGTTAGTAAGTTAATTAGACAATAAATCCTATTTGCTTTCGAGCATTGTTCTTCTCAGGTAAGTTACGTTAACGAACTGCTGAAGTCTCGAAAACTCGGTCGTTTAATAATTTCTTTGCATAATTCAGAAAGTACCAGAGCAGGAGAAAATAATCCGTTGTAATTTTATGAATCTTAGCAACTTCGTCTTGCAGATCTTTATGTGTTTGTGAAAGTATTGCTACCTGTCATCACCATCTCCAGGATCCATGTCTTTTTTGGTGAGTGAGCTTGATTGAGGTAAACTACTTTGTTGTCTAAGTGACTGATTTTGTTTGCATGTGGGTCAATGACATGACTTGCATATTTTTGTGCCCAAGTGCATTATTTCCGTTTAAAATAGTTTGTACATTTAAAGTACATTTAAATAATACATATTACTTTACTAAATCCCAATTATTACTTTAATCTTAAAATCCCAAAATGTCAGGTGGTGCAAGTGTCTGGACAAATGAACAGACTAAGACATTTTTTTTAAATGGCGTCTTAATAATAAAACATTTAAAACTAAATTATATGGCATCGTTTTAGGTTTGAAACCTTTCATATAAACAAATTTGATAAATATCAGTATTTATAAATCAATTAGTATAATCTTAAATGTCAGGGTGGCACAACTGCAAAACATTTTATTATGAATTGACAAGGTAATATCATATGATAATGCATCATCCTTGTGGCAGAGTGAAAAGGTTTGTAGATCTCTCTCAAATACTGGTAAAAACGGCTGATTTCAAGTATGGGTAGGTTGATACACTTTCCATGTCAGGTGGGACATCTACAGTATATAGCTACATAAAACTATTTGGTTGTACCGCCTGACATTAAAGCAGTCAAAAAATAAATGTAACCACTTTGTTCATGGCTCAAAAATATGCATTACATCAACTTTGAAAAGTTTTTAAAAACAAATTTTTTGAAGCTTTAAAGGGGTGGCTGATTATGATTTCACTTTTCTAATTTTAGTTGTAATGTTGCTGTTTGAGCATAAACAACATCTACAAAGGTACAACGTTCAAAGCAAAGGGAGATATTTTCTTTCAAAGAAATTGCTTTTTTAAGGTGCATTGTGTAATATTTAGGAGGATCTGTTGACAGAAATGCAATATCATGCATAACTATGTTTTCAGTGGTGTATAAAGACCTTACTTAATGAACCGTTATGTTTTTATTACCTTAGAATGAGCCATTTCTATCTACATACACCGCGGGACCCCTTACATTGAAATGCGCCGACATGTTTCTACCGTGGCCCTCAACGGACAAACGTGTTTCGTCACTATGTTGTTCTTCGTGCAAAGGAGCTAGCTAAAGTTAGCGAATAAAACACCGACACAATGATGAACAAGTAACAGTAATATTCGCAATAACATCGTTTTACTGAATAATTAAGTAAACCTAATTTCTTCATTTATCTTTGTAAAGAAACCTCATTTCTTAACTGGCTACTCTTGGCTGTCTCGACATCTTTTCCTGTCGGCCACGTAACTTCTGTTGGTTGCAATGGGCTCTATGCACGGCGGTATTTCCGGTGAAGGTCTAAGGATGCTGGATTACTTCCGCCGATCGTAGAGTCCAATGCTATACCGAGAATTTATATTGGTTTTTATACTCTATTGCTATACTAAAGAAACGTTAGTCACAAAAACAGACAAAACAGACACCCCTCATTTTGTTTATGCTTCTTTGTTTATCATATTTAATAAACATAACTATATATAAAATTACATCTAAACGTATTAAAGTTTCGTTTCAAAGACGAGAGGACAGTAAATTTTGAAGACTCTGCTATAATACCGTTTTCCTCCGCTTTAAATCTCCCCAACCGGAAACGCAAGAGCATCCTTTCATCAAACACGGAAGTTATGCGTGCATATAGCCCATTCGCCACTAGATGCCGCTAAAAATTACACATTGCACCACTAACACCCCCCCCCCCCCAGATATGCTAATCAATGACTAGAAGATAACTACACATAAGCTACATAAATTCATCAACTAACCATTCAGAAATGTTGTCTACATGTTGTAACTTCTTGAGTCTCTCCATCATTGTCCGACTCCGGTTTGAACATAAAAGGCTAAAAGTTTTTGAAATGTTCTCAGTGTGTGTCTGTGAGGTAATCGGAGCTGCTAACACACGTGCACACACACACAAGCTCTTGAAGCTCCGCCCCCTGTGCCGGGAGCAGCAGCTAATTTGCATTTAAAGGGACAGACACAAAAACGGTGCATTTTTGCTCACCCTCAAAAATTAACAATTTTAAAGGGATAGTTCACTTTGAAATTAATTTTTGATATGTTTTAGCTTACCTCAAGGGCATCCAAGATGTAGGTGTCTTTGTGTCCACAGTATTTTCAATTTTGATATTTTTAGGTCAAACCGTTCTTGTCTGTCAGTCATATAATGCAGGTCTATGGTAACTTCCTCAAAGAGCATGCACAGAGAAGTCCAAATTAAACATGATTTAATGAATGTAAGTACACATTGATGGCCTAAGACACGAAACGAGCGGTTTGTGTGAGAAAACGAAAAGTATTATATCGTTTTTACCTCTTGTAAACACAGCCACGTCCAAGTGGTCTGAGGTCGCGGGCGCTTCGGTCTTTTCCGGCAAGCGCCGGAAGTGATCTCTCGCGCGTGTACGTCACTCATACAATTTTTTTTTTTTTTTTTTTTTTTTATTGTTTTCTTTTACGACGGTTTAAACATCCCGGATAAGCGCAAATTAGTACTCTTTTAATAAGCCATCTTACCTACAATCTCTGTTCTGTGTAAACAATGAGTGACGTATACGCGTGAGAGATCACTTCCGGCGCTTTCCGGAAAAGACGAAGCGCCCGCGACCTCAGATCACTTGGACGTGGCTGTGTTTACAAGAGGTAAAAACGATATAAATACTGTTCGTTTTCTCACACAAACCGCTCGTTTCGTGTCTTAGGCCATCAATGTGTACTTACATTTACGAGTCATTAAATCATGTTTAATTTGGCCTTCTCTGTGCATGCTCTTTGAGGTGGTGACCATAGACCTGCATTACATGACTGACAGACAAGAACGGTTTGCCCTAAAAATATAAAAATTGAAAATACTGTGGAAACAAAGACACCTACATCTTGGATGCCCTTGAGGTAAGCTAAAACATACCAAAAATTAATTTCAAAGTGAACTATCTCTTTAACATGCTATATAAAAATATTATTTTGAGCTAAAACTTCACATACACACTCTGGGGACATCAACGACTTATTTTACATCTTGTGAAAAGGGCATTATACCACCCCTTTAATTGTCAATGACACATGTACATCCATCTCTCACTTTCTCTCAGCGCTGGGTGTCAGAGAAACTTAGCGTGGAAAGCCTGAGGGACCTGGAGTTATTTGGAGGTGAGTTCAATAGTCCAGCATCTGATGTCGCTGTGCTTCTCGTACCTCTTTCAGCAAACCCCACCCGCCTGAGCTTATTCCACTGTAGCCAGGGTGAGTGTGAAGGGGAGCCCTAGAAACTCAAACCTAAAAATTAGTTCCTATAATACATTCATTTTTCAAGATACTTCTGCAATATTCAAATGGTCAATTGGCCCATCTTGAACTTGTCAAGGAGATACACATTTTTGGACACAAATCCCCCTCATAGTCAGCTATGCAGGCACATAGCAAAAGAGAAGCTCTGCGTATGCAGAATACCCATGATCGCAACCAAGCAGTACCTTTGCAAAAGCAACAATATGGCTTTTGGCTCGCTGTTTGTTTTGCGTGCGCTTTATTAAAGGTTTTGCGAATTTAATATTGTCAATCGTTGTGAGTTTTTGTTGTAAATGTGTTATACGGTGTGGTGTGATACTGCTCTGTTATGAAACAGATGCGTTTGTGTCATGGTGACTGATGATGGTGGTAACAGCAGATACTGTGTGTCCTTGTGCCTGTGAGGCTTTTTAATCTCCTTTCTGCGGTGAGGTATCTGTATGTATGTAGGATGACTCTGATGTAGTGTAATTGCTAGGT